CTGCAGACCAAGGGAATTGGAAGTGAGAGCAGAACTGGGTCTGTCTAGATAATATGTTGCTTAATTTCTGGGGGAAAAAGGTCACTATTGATCATGATTTCCTCCTGTCCTGGACAGGATGAGGACTGCATCCGAGGGAACAGGCTGCCCTGTGGCATGACTTGCCAAAATGGAACTCCCTTGCACGTAATCAGCATCAAACCCTCCACCATGTGGTTTGGGGAGAGGATGAAGACGACCAGTGTGATAGTGAGGTGAGAATTTGGGCCATGCAGACACCTCTTGTTTCTGGTGTGTGTATTGTGACACTTGTATAACTGAATCTAAAATGGACTTTATGTGTAGGTCATGTTTGCTGCTGACTGAGGATGAAGTAGTTCCCTAACTCTTGTGCCTCCTCTGTTTTTTTCCAGGACCGGGGAGAGTACGTACAGAGCTTGTTTCTCTTTCCACTCTTCATATAGTGAGGTTTGTATGCTTGTAGTGCTGAGTGGACAGGGACTAAGAACATGGAAAGGTGTTTGGATTATTCTGGAGGGGATGCCATGACTTGTCACAATAAAAAGAGTGGAAGAGGAAGTAATAATGGAAGTTCTGGATGCTGAAGACAGAAATTTGCTTTAGTATAGCTGCAGAGGAGCGTGTTAGAGCCGGGCAGGAGTAGAAGGCTAGTGTTTGGTCTCTGTTCTCTGTAGGTCACTGCTGCAATTGTCTTGGCTGCTTTTCTGGTTTAGATTACTGTGTTGCTGTGCAATTCAAAGAGTGGAGTTTTGGGTTTCAGTGCATTGTTTAGCTGCTGTGCCTCAGCTTTGGGTGGGTTTGCCACTTCATACAGAACCATCAAGGCTGGAGACCTCTAAGATCAAGTCCAACCCTTAACCTGTCACTGCTGGAACCCCCAAACCCTAACCCAGATCCTCCAGTGCCACATCAGACACCTCTGAAACACCTCCAGGGATGGTGACTGCACCACCTCCCTGGGCAATATCCCAGTGCTGAACACCACAACAGGGAAAACATTTCTCCTCACACCCAATCTGACTCTGCCCTGGCTCAGCTCAAGGCCATTCCCTCTCTCCTCTCCATGCAGCGCTGGCAGGACGGACCAGGATATGACTTAATCCAGTTCTAAACCCACTTCTCTCCTAAGAAACTGAACTGAAACTGGGCCAGTGCTAGGCATGAACCTGTCACAAAGCCTTTCCCATACAAAATAGAGGAAGACAGTCCTGGTTTTAAGCTCCTGGTTAAGTTTTAATTTGCTCTGCCATGAGGGACTTTAAATGGAGGTCCTGGAGTAGCACATCCAGCATGGAATGTGGGGGTAGTGGAACTGTCACACACTTCTACCTCCATGTGCAGAAACAGCTGTGTCCTACTGTCTGTATAGATAGTGTAATCTGCAACCTGCAAGTGTTTCCAGTGCTCAGCAATGGCACAGCCTCAGTTGGAGTGGGGTATTCCAAACCAGACAATCCTCCACAAGGTTTAATGTCTGGAGAGCATCTGGAAGACAACAGAGTTAACTTTGGAACAACTGGAACATTTTGTAATCCTGGGCCTTGACTGAAGGGAGACTTCAGCAAAAGCCTTTTAGGAAGGGAATACCTGATCTGCACAATTGAAGGCCAAGAAAAATGCAGGTCTGAAAAGATGGACAGCAGTAAGGACAGGGAAGGGCTGGATCACATTCCAGGCCTGTCCAGCCTTTCCTTTCAGAGGTAGTGATGTTCTGGGTAGTGGCTGATAACTTCAGGGAGGTGTCAGGTGAGCTGAGTTCTCAGCATCCTCTCAGACTTTGATGGAGTGTAGCTCATGGCGCACATTGGTGGGAGCACTTCTGGCTGTCCTTGCATCAGTGTTGTATTTAAGGGACATTCTTAACTTGTTCTCTTCTGGAATATAGATCAAGGATTTCCTGAGCTATGTCCGTCCTGTGAATGTCTATCCCAACGTGCTGCCAGTGGGTGGGACAGAGGACAAGGTCATGGAAATGTAAGTGCCAGTGGCTGCTGGATGGAGGTGATGCAATCTCTGTTCCTCTCAGGGGGTCACTGCCTTTTGCTTTCCTTGCCTGACAATTCAGGGTTGGGTTTCTTCCCTATATTCCATCCCACCAACTTGAGCTTTCTGAAGCAAACTTGGGTGTTGAGCTGAGTCAGAGTTTGCATTCCATGTGCTACTTCTATCCACACACAGAGGCTTTTCTGCTGGTAAACTGTGGGTGGGAGCTGAACACACACTGACCTCACTGTGCTCTGTGACCCATTTCTGTTTGTCATTGCAGCTGCTCTCAAGTTTCTCTTACAGAGGATTTCTCTGGGGTTTGAGCTCCTCCCTGCACAGCCCCAGAGAGGTCAGTTCTCCCAGAGCAGGAGAGCAGTGGGGTCACTCAGTCTGAATGGAATGAGGAATTCCTCTGCCTTTGGCTTTCCCTCCTTAACAAACACTGAGATGCTCTGTGATTACTGAACAGAACTGCAGTCAGACTTTGAACCTTCTCTAAGGAAGGAACTACCAGATAGTTTCCAAATGGTGTCCATGTTTTAAGGTAGATGCATGGAAGTGACAGATTTCTGCATTTCAGCTGCCTAAATTCATCAGTGACTCAAGAACAAGAAGTTGCTGCCTTTGCCTGCCTGTGAAGGGCATGGAGCTGTGTGCTTAGATCAAGTGAGGAGATCCTTTTGCTCCTGAAACATCTCCTGAATTCTGAGTATTAATTGCCTTTCTCATTCCTTTCAGATTGAAGCCACTGTGCAGGTCCTACAGCAGAAATGTGGCACCCAGATACAAGCCCTTAGGGACACTGAAGAGAGCTCACAAGAGAGAACTGTCTGATACAGGTAAAGGTTCTGCTGGTGCTGCAACTCTGATCAAAGTCTGAGACTAAGCAGAGGTGCCAAAAACCTCAGTGTTCAGCACAGTCTGTGTGTGTGTTCAGAGCAAGTTGGAAAGGGGAAATAGGAATGAAATTAACTTAGGTTTGGGAGGGTGAGAGAGAACTAATTGTGTGAAATGCACTTGTTTGCAGCCTGAGGGTAGGAAAGCTCTACAGAGAGATTTAGGCCAACTGGATCAGTGGCTGAGGACACTGCATGAGGGTCAGTGAGGGTCAGTACTGGTGCTGCCCTTGGCACACAACAGCCCATGCAGCTCCAGGCTGGGGGAGCAGTGGGGACAGAGGTGTTGGCCCCAAAGGCCTTGGCAGTGCTGGTGGCACAGCTCAGTGGGAGCCAACAGTGAGCACAGGTGGCCAGGGATATCTTGGCCTGGCTCAGGAGATTGATAAGATTCAGATTGGGTGTGAGGAGAAATGTTTTCCCTGTTGTGGTGTTGAGGCCCTGGGATATTGCCCAGGGAGGTGGTGCAGTCACCATCCCTGGAGGTGTTTCAGAGGTGTCTGATGTGGCACTGGAGGATCTGGGTTAGGGTTTGGGGGTTCCAGCAGTGACAGGTTCATGGTTGGACTGGATGATCTCAGAGATCTCCTCCAGCCCTGATGGTTCTGTGAATGTAGTTGATGCTCACAGCTCTGTAGGTCTCTGGATGGAATTCTTCCCTCAGTCCTGGCCCAGCCCTATTAAGACTTGCTCTAACTGTCCCTGTGAGACACTTGTGCTAGACAAGGCAAACACTGCCAGAAATGTGCTGTGAAGGCTTCTGCTGGGTTAGAGAGCTTTGTCCTCAACTTATACTAAGTGAATTTTAATCAAACCTTACAAACTTCTAGCAGAGGTGTGACTTTCTTTTCTCAGTGTTTTTTTTTCCTCTGTTCATTTCTTGACAGATGAAGAGGATCTCTTTGATTCAGGACCTGCTGCTGCCAAGCCCAAGATTGCCAAGCAGCAGAGAGGAGAGAGCAGGACCTGCAGTACAGCACAGCCTCAAAGTGCTGATGGAAACATCAGTGAGAGCACAGAAAGCCACAAAGCCCCCACAACCTACACCTCCCTCAAGTTGGACTTTGTGGACTGTGAGGAATCCAATGATGATGGTGATGATGATGAAGAGGAACCTGAACAAAATACAGTTCAAGTTGTTTCCCCTGAGCCAGATGCCACTTCCAACAGAGTGACTGGTGACCAACAGGAATCTCATGCTGATGTTCCTCGCTGGGATGAGTTTTTTATGTGTAATAAACTAGAGGAAAGCTCTGAAAATGAGGACAACATCCCATCTTCAGCAGATGCTGGTGGGTCCCAGTCACTCTTCAGCGATTCAGATGGAGTGAGTGACTCGACACACATCTCCTCCCAAAACTCTTCCCAGTCCACACACATCTCTGAGCAGGGGAGCCAGAGCTGGGACAGCCAAATGGACACGGTGCTCATCACCTCCCAGGAGAGAAGTGCCCAGGAGCTGGGCTGCCCCAGAGGAGGTGTGAGCAGAGCAGATGCTGTGCCACAGGACAGTGCCAGGGACAGCCAGCTGGGCAGCTGCAGGACACCAGGGGACCTGCAGAGCAGAGGCTGGGAGAGAGCTGCAGGAGCTGGCACTACCCATGCTCAGGATGTGCCGGTGGATGTGAGTGACAGCTCCAGGACTCCTGACCTGGAGCTGAGGAAGGACTCCCAGAGCTCCTCCGACTTCGAAATCCCCGCGACTCCTGATGCTGAAGTGCCTCAGCCAGATAAACTGCTCCATCTCTACAAGAAGCTTGCAGCAGGTGAGGACATAGTGAGGGAGAAAAAAGCCTCCTGAGGACAGGTACAAACTGATTACGACCCTAAATGCTTAGCAATACCTGAGTTCTCTTTAGTGCTGGTCACTACCTGCAGCTCTGCTGCCTCAGGCAGTTCTTTGCAGGAACATTTTTGTCAGAACTAGGAATTTGCAGCCTGTGTAACTTCACTCTTCCCTCTGTGGGACACTGGAAGGGAAGCATTCCCAGGAGGGACTGTACAAGGCTTCTACCTCCTAAGGTTCTGTTGTCCAGGACTGTTAGGAAATCAAAAAATGGACCAGACAAAAACTAAAGGTAGATCAAAGCCAGGTTGGATGAAGCCTTGAGCAACCTGCTCTGGTGGGAGGTCTCTGAGCTCCATTCCAACCCCTACAATTCTATGGACACTAAATGAAATTTAGTGTTTGTCATGAGCTCTAAGAGTTTGTAATGTTGTTTTCAGGACTTGGCAACCTCAGGGTTTTAGTTCTAAGCCACCAGCCACATCCTGCTCTGGCAGAGAAGGGAACCTGTTCTCCCAGACAGGTGCTTGCATTACTCCACATTTCACCTCCTCTGCCACACTCTGTGGCCTTCACTGAATTACTTTTGAACCCAAGGCACTGTACTCCCCATGCCCATGTGCCACCACAACTGTCTCTGCCAAAGCTCTTCTAAAAATGTAGTCCTGGTTTTTGTGAAACTGCAGTGCCTACAAAAATAGCCAAACCACAGAAGCCATTAAAACTCCCTGGAGTTTCCCATCCTTTTTTTTTCTCTTCCCAAAGAATTAAAGAGACTTTTAGCACAATCTCTCCCCCCCATGTGTGCCTTCAGTCTCTGTGGGAGTGTCAAACCAGCAGAGTTCTGCCCTGGGCCCAGGGGCAGGAGGGGAGGAAGCAGAGCTGCAATCTCTGCATGACTTCATGTGTTTCTTCATCATCACATTGTGCCAGCTGTGTGTGGGATTTGCTCACATCATGTGCTCTACCAACCTTTGGGCTTTCTCAGCAAGCTTGAGCGAGTGGGAACTGCTGCTGTAACTACCTCTGCGAATAAAGTCAGAGCAGAAGCTCTTCTGTTGGCTCCTTTCCAGCCTGTGAGTCCAGGGCTGCCTTCACAGGGTGCTTAAATAGACAGGAACCCACTGGGCCTCGGTGTCAACTGATACCAACCCTAAGATGAACAGAAACCACATCATTTCCTCATGGTTGCTCTGCTGCAGTCCTGACACTGCTAGGAATTTTGGGTACAGCACAAGGATTGAGGTTTGTAGTCTCAAAATCTGCTCCCACAGGCTAAGATTTAGGTGTTTGTTTAAGAATGACAGCAACAAGAGAAAAAAAACTAGATTTTCTTTATTTTATCAAAAAACTAGAGGAAGATAGCAGTCCTAGAGAACACACAGTATGAAAAGAAAATGTTCCTGAGCTTACAAACTGCATATTCTAATGTACACAGTTCCTAAAACATACATTAGAAGTAACCCGAAAGAAGATTGACTTAACTTGGAAAAGCTTAAATAAATAGCTGTTCTTACAGGTGATCTTTGCAGCTTTATAGCGTTGCTACCAAAAAAATACACCCAACAGAACCCAGAACAGCTAGAGGACAGGCCCCAGGCCATGAGGAAGTGCCTACAGAGCAGAGAACTGGTGCCCAGGGCCATGCCAGGGGAGCACAGCAAACCAAAGGCAGAAGCTGAGCTGGTTTAGGGTCCGTAAGAAACTGAAAGTAGCTTTTCCTCCTTTTCCCGTTTGGCAAATTATCCTGCTGCAGTGCTACAAACAGCAGCAGGAGTTTGAAAAGTGACACAGTGTCCTGTGATTCGCTGCAATCCAATCCAACTGCACTGGGAATGTGGAAATTCAAAATAACTGCCCCGGGCTCCCAACTGCAAACTGGATCCAGGGAGGGGGAGGGTGACTTCAAATAAATACAGAATAGTGTTACCTCCCGAACGGAAACCAACAGCTCTTTGTTTGTGGCAGAAGATAACACACATCCCCAGTGAACAGCAGCTCATCCCAGTGCTGGTGATAACACTCCCTGCGGGGGGGGGAAAGGCAGACACAGCTCCAGAACAGCTGCCAAGGCAGCAGCTCTTAGCTTGCCAAATGCCTCTGCCTGCAGAGCTCCAGTGCAGCTGGGCACGGCCAGGGCAGAACTGAGCAGTGCCCTGGGCCTCAGCACAGGAGGGAAGCTCCCCCACAGTGCCAGGGCTGAGCTGCCATGCCTTGGAATGCCTTGCTGCCCTGGGCTGAGTGCCAGAGGGAGCACTAAGGACTCCAGAGCAGCAAGGGCACCCCGAGTTTGCTAACCTTAGAGCTCCACCCGTGTTCAAACAAAGTGTGGCACTGTGCTCAGCATTTACTCAAGTGTGTGGGCACAGGGGAGCCTGGTCCTGTCAGCCCCTGCCCAGTCTAAGCAAACTGTCACCTCTTCATTAAACAACATCAAGTATTTTAACATGTGTCTCTGCACTGTGGGTCACAAAGCTCACACAGCATCTCCAGTGGCCCACACTCCTCTCCCCAACTGTGAAACCTCTTTTGGTTAGTTGCACACAGAATTTGTCTACCCAAGAGCCAGATCTTCAGTGCAAATGCAACTGTGCTTCTTCATGAACCTGTACTGCCCCTTGAAACACTTTTTTTTTTTTTGAGTGCTATCATTAACATGGAATTTAAGGCATTTTTCTAACACATGAAGGAAAGAGATACATCGTGCTGGGTGCTTGGCTTCATCCCCTGAGCCCACAGCTGTGCACCTTATAAAGGTAACTAGCTGACCTATGATACATAGCTAGCATCCATCTATGGAGCTTCCATCTATGGAGCAACACTTCTGCCTGACCCTGTCAACATGTACATGACTTGTAAGCAACATGCAAGTTTTACAAGCTTTTCATCTGTGAGAATAAAGCACTTGGAGCATGGACCTCAGCTGTAACTTCCACTCCTAACACACCTCAACTGCTCTTCAGTGGTTTTGAAGCCAAGCAAAACTTGTTATGGATATGATGGAGAGAACTTGGAAGGTGATTGGGAACAAAGCCAAGTGACTCAAGCAGCTGAAGAATAGCAAATTTCTCAGCCTTTACATTCAAGAACATCTTACAAATGTCTACATCAAATGGGTGTATTCACCCCTAGTATAACTTCACTGAAGTTACCATCTTTGCATCAAGAAAATACAGGTCTAGTCTCTCAGGAGTCTGTCACTAGATAAAAAAGTCACAGTATGTAAAAACTCAGTCAACATCAGCTGTGATTACACACCAGTCCCAAGGGTATCTTTGTACCTGACAGAGAACTGAGGAGATCCTCACGGCACATCAGCTTGGTCAGCCAAGCTGCTCTCCCTCAGCTCCTGCTCTTGACCTCCAGGCTGTAGCCAGCACTTTGTTCCAGCCACAGGCCTGCAGTGAAAACAGTGAAGGTTCCTACTATACTCCCTGCAGTCCTCCTGCAGCCTCCCAACTACAACACAGAACCGAGACAACTTCTACAGAACAGAACTTCAGCTAAAAGTTCCAGGTTCACACCAGGGCTGGGCTGAGACCAACTCCCTCCCTGGTGAGGAGCCTGCATTCCTGTGAGCCCTCACACACTTTGTTCACCCTTCACCCTGCTGACACCAGTGTTATTGCTAAGCTCCTCGAAGCATTTCTTGCTAGGACAAACAGAACTGTGCACTGTCATTTAGGAGGTAAATGCCTCCGGAGTCCTCGAGGTACAGAAAACATGTAACATCACTTCATCCCACGGAAATCAGCTCCTGAAGGCTTTGTGGCTCTAAGCTCACACTCAAATATTCAGGCCAAGGGACAGCCCAGAGTTTTCTCTGCACACATTTTACTGCTCCCTACACAACAGCTCTAGAACAATCAGTGTTCAATCCCCATGGTCTGTTTTGTACCTGCCTGAAACACTACAGTCCCTGTCTTTGGCCAGTGCCATCTCAGTTACAAACACAATGCCTTGTTTCACTGTCCTTATTTACATTAGATGTAAGAATACTTGAATATGTGTGTGAAAGAAGAGTCTTCTTAAAACACGTTGAAGAGAACAAAAGGGTCTGTGACTTTGGGTACTCAAGGTCAGTTGAGATAACCTCTGCAACACACAGCTCCACATTTACAGACAGTTCTGATTCTCTTCTTGGATGGGCTGAGTCCCTCAGCAGAGTCTGAATTCAGATCTATTGAACCTGCAACACAGGCAAACACAAAGCAGGAGGTGTCAGGAGACACAGCAGGAGCAGGATTGGTATTCAAAGAGCTGCCAAAGGCTTTCTAACACCCCAGGGCAAAGGGCTGTGAGTGTGCCCAGATTCTACCAACACCTTCTTAAACTCAACCACCTTTAGCCTTGTACCCTCACTCCACCACAGCCCTGGAGAGGTTGTTCCAGTTGGTTCTGACTGTAAAAACCTTCTTCATTACCAAACAGCCAACAGTATTTCACCAAGAACTTGTTTTCTTGAAGTCTCTAGTAATGATCAATGTATCCAACCCAACCAACAACAGTGAACTCTGGACTGTCCCTGACACCACCATGTCAACCTGACCATGGCACTAAATGCCACGTCCAGTCTCTCCAGAGATAGTGACTCCACCACCTCCCTGGGCAATATCCCAGTGTCTAATCACTCTTTCTGTGGAGCTGTTACAACTCCAACTATCAGAGCAGATTATTTAGGAAGCAGCTTCCCTGAAATGCCAGTCTGAACACAGGAGAGCTTTATTCGACGGCAGCCTTACCATTCCTGGGACAAAACCATTTGCCTCACCAGACAATCCAGCCACAGCCCCTGCTGGGAGCTGGGAGTGCTGAGGGAGGCACTAGAGGTAAAAGCTGCTGGGTGAGATCTCGTCTGCACTGCACATAACAAGTGGTGACTCCCCTAAGCCCAGAGCTGTGCTAGTGCCTGACCTAACTGCTGTCACCAGTCAAGCTGCAACAACACCCACCAGTGCCCCAGGCCCTCACCCAGAAGAGTGTTAGAATGTGCAGACCTTTCATCTGGTAGTCAAAGGTTAGCTCTTCCCCAGCCTTGATGGGTCGGGTAGAGAACAGTGCTATTCGAGGGAGGCGCAGGTCGAGGTTGTCGATGAACACGTTGAAGACTTGAAGGTTTGGATCACACTGTGAGCAAAAAATGAGAGCAGTTTCTCTTAAGGAAAATGCACAGCAAGTTTCACTGAAGTCTTTAAGGTCACAGGAAAGGAAGAACAGGTTCTTCTCCCAGTGACAGAGGTCAGCAATTAAGGTACTGTCTGAAACAGCCTTCGAGGAGAACATTAGTAGCTCGAGTCCTTCCAGGAAGGCAACACTTACACACTACACAGACTACACTATATGCAACAGCCCAGAGAAAATTTGCACCCTCAAAGATGGCAACAAAACCAGTGGCAAAGCCATTAAAGCTGCATTCAGAGGTCAGGGTTTACCTACACACCAGAAGAATTTGAGTTGAAAGACAACCAGGAGCAGCGTAATGTTCCAGGCCCCACACTCCCACTGCTCTGGGTTTATGTTAGGCATTGCTTCCAGGCCAGAAATACCTTTTGCACACTATGCACCATGCAAACCTGCCTGGCTTCCCAACTCCCTGCCACGGGCTGCGTGGTGGGAGGAGGGTGAAGGGCAGGAGCTAGAAACCACTTCATCACTTCCCTGGGATTCAGTCCCTGAGGCTGTTAAATTCTGCTTTTTTTTTTGCTGTTTAACAGTGACACATATCGTATGTTAAAGAACCAGGAGTGAAATGACAGACATTTAACGTGACACTGAATTGTGAGAACACTTCACTCCCATTTCTGACAGGGAGAAGCAACTGGCTAAGTATTCCTTGCTGTTTGTTATGTCTTATCTCACTGGTCTGTGCTGGCAGGAAACAAACTACTCCAGACAAGCTGAATAGGGTAAGGAAATGTTTACAGTGGAGGGGGAAGATATCGTATATACAACAGACAAAATACACAGGGTCCTTACACTGTGGTTCACAAAGTGGGACACATTTCCATATCGAGCTGCATCTACAGTAAATTCATCTGAGTCGTAGTCCAGATCAAACAGGTATGTATTGCCCTGGTGGTCATAGAACTGGCCTCGTCTCTCTGCTTCCTCACTGGTAATCACCTGGAAAAAAACAGAGGCAAACAAAGAAAGGAACCTGCATCATATTATTAACTATTACTAAATTAAAAATCACAAGTTAGACCAAACAGCCTCCAGTCAGCCACAAAAGCCACACTCAGGTTTTGATGTTGATGTAGCATCTGTAGGGAACGAAGGATCCAAACTCACAGCTAAACCTTCTCTTGGCTGCAGCTGATGCACAGCACTACCTTGTCTCAGGGAAAAAGACTTAGCAGCACCTTCTGTTAGGATTCTGATGACAACCATACAGTCTGCTGCTTCTTAAAGCTGCTCTTTCTTCATTATGCCCAGAAAGCTTCGTTTGCTTCCTATAAAATTGAGTTCCAGCTCTCTCCCTTTGCACAGATGAGGATCAACAGGCCTTTCAAACCCAGTCACATTTACAGCCCAGGGTTTGTCTCCTGCCTCCCTAGAAGCATCTCCTGCTGCTGTTTTTGACTGCAGTGAAAGATCCTACTCATGACACCTCAGACACATCACAAAGTTCAGTCTGTGCAATGAGGAGATGCTTTGGACAGAAGGAACAGCTCTAACCACCTCATGTTGCAGCCTGTCAGGTTAGATTTGTGCTCTGCAAAGAAACCACAACTTTGCAGCAGGACAGATACAAATTGTGATGGAATTGGATGACAAATCCCTCAGTCATGTCTAACTTGAGAACTCCCTCAGCAGCAGTAAGCAGGTTCAGGGGAACGGGCAAACACAGCCCCTTTCCTTTAAAAAACAACATCACACATCCACCTCCCTGCACCGACCCCTCCAGAGGTGCTGGGAATGTCTGAGCCCTTGGGTATTTACAGGGAAGGCACAAACGGGAGCAGTTACAAGATCTGGGGCAGGAAGCATGGAGGGAAGACAAGGAAGGATAGAAACCTTTGTACCAAGGGGCAGAAGGGAATACTGTGAGTCAGAGCTGCTGGTGTGAGGAGCCCTGAAGCAGAGCAGAGGCTGAACAGGGCAACACAAAATCTCCAAGGTAACTCAGGGTCTGTGCTTCAAGACACAAAAGTTCTCTCTGAGATAGTGTGAGAGTGAATCAACAGCTAATGGCCACACTATGGTGTTAATCAGAAGTCACAGACGTGCCAGGAAATACTAGCTGAGAAAGTTCACAGAAAACAGAAAAGGCACTGACAGACTGTGCAGAGAGTTCTGTAACAACTGTGCCTCAGGAGCAGCAAAAAGTACCACGAAAACCATCAGGGAAGAATGAAGAACATGACAAAAGTACCATGAAGACCATCAGGAAAGAATGAAGAACACAGACTGCCATGAAAGACATAAAGGACTTGACTTCAGAAATGCCATTAGGGCATTAAAGAAACTCTTTAATGCTATGTGGGATAACTGTTGGCATTATTCTGCTGTTGACTTGAATGTCTATTTATCTTTCTACTCCAAAGCAGACTGAGCTATTAGACAGTGTAACCACAGAATATCCTGAGTTATCAAAGAACCATCAGGGTTAGAGGAGACCTCTGATATCATGAGTCCAACCACTGACCTGTCACTGCTGGAACCCCCAAAGCCTAACCCAGATCCTCCAGTGCCACATCAGACACCTCTGAAACCCCTCCAGGGATGGTGACTGCACCACCTCCCTGGAAGGGAGTTGGAAGAGACCCACAAGGATCACTGGAGTCCAACTCTTGGCCTTGCACAGCTCAGCCCAATAATCACACTCTGTGCCTGACAGCATTGCCCAAACACTGTGAACTCTGTCAGGTTTGGTGCTGTGACAGCTTCCCTGGGGAGCTGTTCAGTGCCCAAACACTCCCTGGGTGAAGAAGTCAAGTAGTGTTAACACCGAGGCAAAGCTTTTATCTGACATTTCCTTTACCGTGCGCAATTCACCCACGTGAGATAAATACATACCTCTCCCACGTACTCCATGACAAAACTGTTGGTTTTGATTTTCTGGAGGGTTTTCACTCCCCACCCGCGACCGTTGTTGGTTCTGAAGATGCAAAGGGAATAGGGTGTACCTTTCTGTACTATCCTCGTGGGGCAGTCAGGCCCACACCTACAATATGAGTTGCACTCATAGATGGGCAAACCAGGCTGTATTTTCAACTTCTTGTGTTTATTGTAAGCCAGAATAAAGCCAGCCTCCTTGGGACAGCACTTCTCGGCGGGGCAGTCAGCACACTCACAGCCGGTGGTGATCCCGTTGAGCACGTTGATCCCCGGGGCAGGTTTGTACTCATTGATGTAGTAGAAGTCTACAGGAGGCCCCTCGAGATCCACAGTGTTCTCCACCAGGATCATTGCTTTGTGGTTCTTTTTCCTGTTGAGCTCTTCCTTCCACCTCTTCAGAGCTATCCTTTGCTTGGCTTTCTTCACGATGTAATCTGCAACCGCAGGCTGCAGAGTTTTAATGTGGTTTCTTACTTTGAGTGCTTTGCCTTCCCTCACCCGAGACAAGTATTCATCCTTGTCCCTCAAGAAGTTCTGGAGGAGCAATGGGCAGTTCAGATGCTTCTGAGGCTCCCAAGTGTTTGAAGACTCGGGCCATCCTTTCCATTTCACCAGATAGTATTCTTTGCCCTTGAAATACAGAAACAGAGACTTAGCCACAGTTCACGTCGCTCCAGCCCAGCAGCACAGAGCACACACAGGCAAACACAAGAGCTCTGGAGTTAAGGACCAGCACACAGCCTTGATGTCCCCAGGACAATTAGAGCTGGGGAGAAAGGGATTTTTTAAAAAAGCAAAAAAAAAAAAAAAAAAAAAATCAATCTTTTTTTTGTTTGCAAATTAAGTTACAGCACAACTTTAAGATATCATCTCTGGGGGCAAAGGAATGGAGAGCTGGGATGAAGTCAGTGCTAAGAGCATACCTGGAGGAGGAGGCTGGTTTGGCAAGGCAGGTGGGGAAGTTATGCTAACTCGCTCAATGACTCATATGCACAAGCAGAATGTAGTTGTATCACATAAAGAACAAAAAAATAGATTCTAAACTTAGACAAAATAAAGCCTAAACCCCCAACATTTGTCACACCAACCACCCCCCAAGTCTAAACTTAGACAAAATAAAGCCTAAAACCCCAACATTTGTCACAGCAACCACCCCCCAAACAGTCACTGGCTAGCAATGAGCAGGAGTGCATGTACAAGGAGGCAGCACACACTGTTGGACTGGTTTTGAAAAGGCCAAATAACTGCAAAAAGGCCAAATCCTGAGACTGAATTTCACTGGCACAATCAAGCCCCAGGAATCCAGATGCAGCACATGGCCCTGACTCTCCTCAACCAGCCCAGAGCAGTCAGGAAAGACACGTGGATGGTTATCTGCACACCAAGGAGAGGCACCAGAATTCATGCCAAGCCACCACCCGAAGCACCAGCACCTCGTTTAACTGGTGGGTGCACAGAGGGGAAACGTTTCGTCCTCTAAGAGCTCTGTCGTGGCAGGGAAAGGTCCTTCCTCCCACGGGCTGAAAGCAGCACGGTCACTGCTCTCTGTCCACAGGGCAGAGGCTATTTGTGTCAACACCAGCAAAGCTCTGTCCTCACTCCCTGCTGCCTGATGTCCCCAGCACAACTACCTCTCACTCCCAAACCTCGGCTGAAAGAGCGATCGAGTCGGTCTGTGTTTCTCTTACCTCTTCTACCTTGTAGTCACACAAATATTCCACCTCATAATTCTTTAGACTCCTGTTGGTGATTCCAATGGATTTACATGTGAGATTTTCCTTCCTACATAACTCTTGGAGGGTCTCAAGTGAAGCTAGACATGGCACATACCAGGCTACAATAAGAAAATGGGTAAAGAATCCTATTTAATGTCTTGGCTAGAATCATTTTACGCCTTACCCCAGAGTCCCCACATCACCACTGGCACAGAACCCTACGGAACAGCTTGGCTAAATGGAAAGGATGATTCCTTATCCCAGAGCCCCAATCTTATCACAGCAGTCCTGGAGTCTCTCGTGTCTCAAGCTCAACCCTCCTGCGGCGGCTCCTGCCCTGCACCTTCCCCCTGCGCGGAGCAAGGAACAGGATTCCTGCAGGGCAGAGACTCCCACCCGCGCCACAGCCCCGCGGGACTCGGGCACAGGCAATCCCGGAATTCCAGAAGGATCGCGGGGATGCGAGGGAGGGGAGGGATGGAGCTCCGGCGGGAGAGATGCGGCACCGTCACCTCCGGGGCGGGACCGGCCCGAACTCCGCCCCGGGAACTGC